ACGTCAGCATGGTGCGCACAGACCAGCTGCGCACGGACCAGTGCGCACAGCCTCCCCTAAACCTCCCCTGTATATAAGCCGGCCTCTGCTGCCCTAGGGACCTCAGTTTCGACCTCTTGTCCCTAGGTCAGTAAGCTCCTTTGTATCTTTTACTTACCTTCACTAACTAATACATTTCTTGTCCCTAGCCTTAGGTTTGAGCATTGCTCATCATTGCTTCGGTGAGAATCAGTCAGACACCCCCAGCCTTCAGGTTTTCTCCAGTCGCTTGACCTCAAGTTGCGACACGCTGCTTGAGATTCTCAATCTTGGTCATCTGACTGTTGATGAAGTCGGAGTCTCCGAAATGCTTGCAGAAGTCTTCAATAAGTTCCTCGTGATGGTTGAGAAGGTCGGGTTGAGTCTTCTCGATGGCCCAGAACCAAGACTTGGGCGAGCCATCCTCAAGCCAGGTAGACATGTAGATGCTCTTGTCATAGTTAGTGACAAGGGAACGGCGCTGGAGATGGATTGCGTTGCGCAGATCAGTGAGAAATGGTTTGACAGCAGCTGGCGTACCATTGAATGTGCATGGGTCATGGAAGCGAATGCTACCCGGAGGCACAGACGCGCGATTGGTGCCTGGCATCTGCATGGAAGCCATGAGGTGCGCGATGGCTTCCTGAATGACCTGTTGATTGGTCGCAAATGTTGTCTGGGCAGTAGCGAGCCCAGAGATTGCATTGACAGCCTGAGCGAGTGCCTGAAGTGCGGGTGAATTTTCCGGGCCGGGTTCAACATTGAATGCTGGTGTTGCTGGGTTAGGAGCTGGTGTGGTGCCAGTGAGAGGGTCGTGGAACTCTGCAAGGTTCATCTCGGAGTCTTGAGACATGGTGAGGGGTAGAGAGCAGAAGGATAAAAGGCTGACAAAGGGCCCGATCGAATGACAGGAGTTGCCAAATTGGGAAGGTTTGATGAACGAACAAATAGGAGGTTCAACTCGTTGGGGGAAGAGTCAAACTGTAAGGACTACGAGAGGGTGCGAGGTACGGCGTGAGGAACGCAGCACCGAGAGCCGAAGTTGTCATGACTTAGGGTCAAGCGACTGGGGAAACACAGACAGAGGATGCTGGGGGCGTTCGACTGGGTCTTACCGAAGCGATGGTGAGCAGAGCTCAAACCTAAGGCTAGGGACAAGAAATGTATTAGTTAGTAAAGGTAAGTAAAGGATACAAATGAGGGCTTACTGACCTAGGGACAAGAGGTCGAAACTGAGGTCCCTAGGGCAGCAGAGGCCGGCTTATATACAGGGGAGGTTTAGGGGAGGCTGTGCGCACTGGTCCGTGCGCAGCTGGTCTGTGCGCAGCATGCTGACGTGGCCCCGGGGGCCGGTGAGTCAGAGAGGCTGTGTCAGCAGAGCCCGAGCTGTGCCGCGCACTGCCATCCCATCTAATCTAATCGTACAGTAGATAGTGATGTGTCCATATCGGGTATGTAGTACAGAGGTCGCGGGTTCGAGCCCGCGAAAAGGAAAAAATTAAAAAACGGCTAGACGCCGTACCAACTCATGACAGAAGTCCTCAGTAGAAGAGAAGTAGTATATGATATTAATGGCAGAGCGCCGGTCTTCGAGTGATTGAGTCGAGGACGAGATGCACGAGAGAGAGAGAATATGATGAGGTAGAATTACTGGTGTTAACTCTGCGAGGATTCCCGAGTGAATACTCGCAGCTTATATACATGAGCGATGGGGCTGTGCTATGGTACATACAGTAAGCAGTCGGTTTGTATCCATGCTGCATTTCTATATACGAGTCTTCTGCCTTGTTGTTACTCAGCTTCCACGTGGGTACTTGGTCATCGCGAGCATGACCGGGCCAGAGTGCGACCGACGACCGGTATGTGACGACCATGACAACCAGCTTCTAAAATACATTGCATAATTGTCATGAATATATTTTGAGAGAACTTTGGTGTTGATATACACCCACCTGTGGGTGCAAGGAATTTAGTTTGTGTTGATGGGTGGAGGTGAAATGAGTTATTTTCTCTTTTGGACAGCACACCTGTGGGTGTATGGCGGGGTCGCATCAAAGAACGCTGGGGAAAAACACTTCTAGAAAGCGTGAGTATGAAGAGGTACTACAATTCTATAATTCTGTAATTATATATATATACTTCAATAGTGCTGCTGTCATGAGTTGACATATGATCAGCATATATACCTCTGGTCAGATGTCAAGCTTGGCTTGACATCTGACCAGAGGTATATATGCTGATCATATGCCAACTCATGACAGTGCAGTATGTACATCGCGCCGGGTCTATACTACGATAGGGGCCTCCGGCCCCCGGCTACTCGCGCGCCCGAGCTTTCGAGCTCGTTCCTGACCGCGTGGGTCAGCGCGTTTCAACAGCAGCTGTGGAGGACGTACGCGAACAAGCTGGGACACGGCGCGCTGCAAAACAGCTTGCCCAGATTATTAGCCCGATCTTGCTTACTAAACGGTCAGTTTCCTTGGAGGGGTTGCCCATCCCCATTTCCACTGATTCCTCGCGACCGGAGGATACACTCTCTAGGGTGTTCAAGCCTTATAATATGCGAAAAATTCCTATGTCGCGAACAACTCGTGGCAGCCAGCTATATTGGCACTATGCTTCATCAAGGATACATATACCTCTCTTCCGTGTACACAATTGCGACGGCCATCGGACAACTGCTATCGAGTTCAACTGTTCTGTGTCGACTTGACCTCACGACCCCTGCACATCTGTTGTTTCGCGGAAGTACTGGACACTGAGGACACTAAGACTACCCTAAATGCTAACACGCGTGTACCACACGATGCGTATCGCGTCACAGCCACCTGGCGCTCGTTACTGTGTAATCTGAATTGGTTCAGGACTCATCTTAACTACCGACACCCCCGGTCGTCCTTGTCCTCGCTCCTCGATGCCATGTCAGTCCTAAAACCATCCGATGTCTACATGCGACAGCTTTTCAAGCTAGGCCTTGGCCATCCGCTCTGGTATCCAGAGCCCGGGAGAGCTGGCGAGGTCGAAGTCGCAGATGTGGGGATCATGATTGACGGTGCTTTTCATCGTCTGTTCAACGCAACCCGAGCTGAGCCGATCGACGTCACGTATGGTCTACCGGAGGACTTCCAACCGCTCTCAATCAAGCGATTTGGGAGTGAGCGCAGAGAGTGCGAAATCCGCGCAAGTACGTTGCATAGTTCAAGTCTATACGATGTTCAGATTCAAGTCGGAGGAGGATCGTAAGTGGTACATGTTCCCGTCAGCGTGCCAGACTGACACGATCATCGCGTTGATAAGGGCCAACGCGGGCATAAGCTGTAATTTCAAGTGCAAGCAGGAGCAAGGAGCGATGCTTGTCCTCCCAGACCCTGCCGTAAGTGAAGAGGTACAAAGCGACCGGATAATCAAGAATTACATGTGGAAGAATCTGGCGTCATGGCATGAATTTGCATTAGAGCAAGGTACGGAGAAGACTGAAGAAGACATAGTTTTCGTCAGAGGTTGGGTGAAAGCCAAGCGATGGATAGTGACCGCGGTGGCAGGACATCGGGAGAAGAGCGCACAGCTGTCACTGGAGGGAGACTTTGGATCGATCGTGCAGGCGTCGGTGAATGGCTCATTGACGCAGACGCATGACTCAGGGTACATCTCGCGATCCGGCCCACCGACAGAGAAGGGTACAGGAGATCAGCACAAGAACAAAAGCGCGCTGAAGTACAATCAATGCATCTTCATGCACTACTACAAGATGAAGAAACGCCTCAGGATCTTCCCCACCATCTTGAAAGCGGCCGCTGAGCCAAAAGATCCCGATACTGGTCCCCCGGATGACGACAACGACTTTGAGATAGAGCAAGTCCCATCGAATGCGAAGGTCTGTGATCTTCATTGTGCGTATTATATACCTCCTGGATAATATATGCAGCCATATGATCCTGTGGGCGAAGTTCTCGATTACATTCTTGAGGCAGGTTGCTTCGCTATTGCTTGACGTGACAAGAGTCGTTGACTTATGATTCAGCATGTGCCAGAAGCAACCAGCGCAATAGCGAGCGACTTTGATCTGCGCCTCCTGTGCAAGGTGAGTGTGTGGTCCTAAAGGATGACAACATCGCTCAAAGTTTCGAGTAGGATAGTGATATCCCCGACGATATCCCCACATTCCTTCAGGAATCTCAGCCTCAGATCGAAGTAAACGAGAACGGACGTCAGTCATTTTCGCTGTCTCGTATTTCTGTCACTTACCGATCATATAGTCGGAATGTTATCCTTCGACGATGAGACGGTTGCCCAATATCAGCTCAGATTCTCAGTTCCCGTCGCTCAGCTCGACTCCAACCCGAGTTCCGACGCCCCCATCCACGAATCCTCCACTCTACAAACCGCTGCAGGGGAAGTCGGTGGACGTGATGATCGGTCAGCCACATCCGGTCATAATAAGGCCAACGATCACGTGCAGAGAGGGACTCTACCATCATCGGAAGAGGGCCACCCTCCTCACCAACCTGACCACACCGAGGAATCCTCAAAGCTAATGGCAGCAGCAGCAGCAGCACCACACGCGTTCGTCGAGCTCGTGCCTCCTGAGGGGGCAGGGATGCTCATTGCCCTAGAAGTCTCTCCAAATAGCCAGTTCGCTGTGGCGGGCTTCGAAGGGTCCATCTCATGCACCTGGGATAACGAGGTTATGAATCCACTGCCCGGTCACGAAGACATCATCACAGCAATCGCATTCTCCCGGGACGGAACCCTCGTCGCCACTGGCTCTCGCGACAAGCGCATCATCGTACACCACGTACCGAGCCTAGAACGTGAAATCACGCTCGAGGGCCACACGAACCTGATCAAGGACGTGGCGTTCTCGCCCGACAAAGAGCTTCTCGTTTCTGGGTCCGTCGATTTCACTGTGCGCCTGTGGTCCCTCACCAATGGAAGCAAGCTCGCTGAAGGGCACCACGACGCAATGGTAATGAAAGTCGGGTTTTCGCCGGATGGGACCCGCTTCGTGTCCGCAAGCGCCGACAGTACCGTGTGTATCTGGAGCACCGAGGACGGTGCAGCACTTTCCGTTCTTCACGGCCACATGGGCGTGATTCACGCAATGTCGTTCTCGTCCGACGGCCGCCGCATTGTGACGGGCTCTGACGACGGTAAAGCGAAGGTGTGGAGCGCGGTATCTGGCGACTGTTTCGTCACGATCGACGAAAAGGCAGGCGTGGTCCGGCAGGCGATGTTCTCGCCAGACGACCAGTACGTGCTGACCGCCGGCACGGACATGATGGCGAGAGTCAACGACTCATTCACGGGCGAGCGAGTCCGGGTGATAGAGGGTGGCCTCGATCTGCAAACCGCAACGACGTTCACGCTCGATGGCAAGTATGTCGCGGCAGGCGGCCACGGCAATGCGATCAATATCTGGAACACCGATACTGGGGATCGTGTGGCACAATTTTTGGGTCATCAGGACACCGTCACCTGTATTCGGTTCTCTGTGGATGGGTTGCGTGTTGTTTCTTACTCGGAGGACAACGTGTTACTGTCGTGGAAAGTGAGTGATGCTATTTTGGCACTCCCTGCGGCACCCCTTGCGGCGCCCCCTGAGGAAGTCGCAGTGCCAGTAGACCAAGCGTAAACGATAGACCTAGGGTTCCATGTACACTTGCAGTGCCTACTCAACTTTTCTTTTTTTAAATCGAGTTTTATATTCTCTATACGGCGTCAACGTTTCTTGTCAATCCATCTACCCATCTACGTCTACGAGTTGGAAATTTATTACTTTTTTCACTTTCCCGCGTGGTATCAGTAGAGCGTGATTCGAGTGTTCAAAGACTTTGTCTGGTGTGTATTTTGATCTGATAAGACGGAGCGTGTTCGAGGGTCCAGGGCCAACCCTAACCCTCTGCCAGACTCTTACGGAAAACCGAGTCCTCGACAAGTCCACACATTGATACCTTGCCTGGCCAATGGCATTGCGAAGACTTCCCCCCGAAATCTGGGAACGCATCATCGACTGTTTGTATGGACAGTATCACACCTTGCAGATTTGTACCCAGGTCTGCAGGAATTGGCGACGCCAGAGTCTACAACTCCTCCCCGAAAAGGTTAGGATGCGGAGCAGAGACGATGTGCTAGAGTTTTCCATGCAGCGCGGACATCATTGGAAAGGACCTCGCAAGGTGCGAATATACGGCGGAAGTCGAGACGACGAGCAGCAGCCGGTCCCACACTTGAGCGTGTTTCTTGCGATGTTAGCCGGGCGATGGACGCGCCTCCAGGATCTCAAGATCTTCAATGCAGTCTTACGGCCTCAAGATCTATCCTATGATGTATTCCACGATCTTGCGTCAGGTTTCTCCTTCCTCACCGGCCTGCGACTCGAGAACGTTACACTACCATCCATCGTAACATTCCGCCGCCTCTTATCCTCTCTTCCAAAGCTCAGGCGACTGCGATGTTGGCCCGTAGACTTCGCTCGACCTCAGTGCACCGACCCTTTGGCTGCAGAGAAGTGGGCTCCAGAAACGCGGCTCTTCAAGCTCTGGCTTCACGGCCCCTCCTGGACAGAGATCGCGCGTGTTTTGACTTCTGCTCGAGTTTGTTCAGACCTGAGCAACATCACCATCACGGATGACGGTACATGCGCTCCTACTCGGAAGTCCCAGATACATTACATACAACGGCTCCTAAAGGATACTGGACACTCGCTCCGTATTCTCCGGCTGAATATTGGTATCCCCCCACGCGACGCCGATGCGGCATCGGAACCTCATGGTTTGTTGCGCCATACTTCCTCTCAGCTGAGCTCGCAGTTGTAACACCTCTTTGATTAGGAGTCGATCTGTCGATGAATACAAGCCTCAGACAACTGATGCTCACTGCTACCGTGAATCCCGACTTCGCTCACTACGACTGGATCGTCTCTTCTCTATCCACCCTTCGTTCTACCTCGCTACATGCGATCGGCATTACCATCGACTTCTCTATTCCCATGGACTCTCGACGGACAGCTTTAGCCCTATCTGAGCTCGGCGAACATTTTTGCGCCAAAATGGATGATGTAGTTGCCGGTTCCCTCTCTGAGCCTCTTACAAGCTTCACGATCATGTGTCGATTAAGCTCACAGGCTATCGTCGACGACGCCTCTTGGACGGAGGTTCTTCGAGCACGTATGCCCGTGCTATGTGAGCGAGACATCCTCAAGTACGTCCCTACCTCTCACTAAGCCCTTTGCGTAAACTCTCATATTTTACTCTACAGACTAAAGTTGAAAAGCGCGCCTTAGAGGCTTGACAATGACGCACGCAGCTCTCTGCGATATCCTTGACCTGTGCTATTGCTTTTGGATTTCTCGATGGTGCATATGCTGGACCTTTCAGACGGCGCGCGTGCAATCATCCTCGCCGCGCCACGACACCACCACAACCAACTCATCGCCGGCACTTTCCACACCTTGTTTGTCAGGACCCATGCGTCCCACGACGCCGATCCCCTCTACCCGGGACCCAACGCCACATTTCCAGTCCCATCCCGCGGCACGACTCACGCGTCAATTCTACGCGCACCTGTGGTGTCACACATAGCTTATGTCTCAATCTGATTTCTTGCTTGCTTGTTGTGCATCATCGTGATACCTCCGCGTAATTCAGCAACGGGCTCAAGGTCCTGGCCTTGAAAAGTGGACGGCTGTGGCTGAGCATGCCATCTGGAGGGGCGCCGTGGAACACGATGGACTATGGGGTCTGGCCTTGGACCAAGGAGCATGATGCGCTTGCTACAACCTCCTTGCTCTATCACGTGTATTCGATGTTGGCATTTATCTTATCAGTGATACTCGTCAATCCAGCCTTGATCTATCATATCGGAATATACCCAGTAGCCTTTATGCGCGCAACAAGAGCTGCACTGTGAAGATAATCTGCAAGTATGGACTGAAATGCTGTATGTTGTTAGTATCTGTCGTCAGACAGCGCTTGCGCCGCCGTATTGCCACAAATTCTTAATGCTGATACCAGCATGCTCGGTACTGACTCGACTTCCGACTGACATTCCGCCTGCCAGTGATGTTCTTCTCGCATTCGCATTAATGCATGCCTTTTCAAGTCGACATCTTCCACTGGACATTCCGATGATTCAATCGCCGAGAGCGCGTGTCACCGCCCTGTACGTACAGGATACGCGTTGGTTGCCTCTATTTGTGCACATGCGTGATATACCGGGTGGCAGGAACACGGCAATCGGCCAATGATACCGAGCTTACCGTGAGACAGCGCGTTGGATAGCAGACGTCAGACAAGGATATCCGGAGCCGGCGCAGGTTGAAGGAATTGTCTCCTCTGCTCTCAGGAAACAAGCCAACCTGCGTGGAAGAGTAATTCCGAGTCAATCACGGAGGATGATTGTGCAAGTTCCCACGCCGTCTCCGATCACAGACGCCGGACCGCCCTTGTCGTGTCAGTCAAGCTCGGGTGCAAAGGTCCCACGAAAACTCCTCTTTTTTGCCTGATGCATGCTCCTCTCCTACTCTTACACCTTCTGTCGGCGACGTGACAATCTTTAAGCTGTCTGTACCACGCATCGCCTCGTTATAGCAAGAAAATCTTCGCTTGCCAGTGTCAAGACGCACATGATTGTCCCCATGGGTCACGGTGGGCGTTGTCCTCGGCCAAATCGTCCTCGTATACCTTTAAATTCGTCCACAATCGGTGGATGCTAGTGTCTGCTGCCATCTGGGAGTCTATATGTCGCACAGCCACGTCCCATACGCGCTAGGGCAACTACTCTGTCTGGTCGCTGTGCTCTCGTGCTTAGACATCTCAATGCCGCGGCCTTGTTGCAACTGAACTGGTTAGCCATGGAAACGAGCAAGAAGATCCTAGTTACTCGCATCTATACGTCCGCTGAACGGACAAACTTTGAGAGGGGAAAGTGGTGGAACACCGTGCTGAGCAACCAGAACGTGGTGCGCTTCTATCAGTTCGCTCCGCTCACTGGCAGGCATCTGACTGGGAAGCTCCATTTGTAGGTTATTGGGATCCTCTGGACGCTGGATGCGCTCGTGGACGTATGCGGTCCAACTATGTGCGCGGCGCGCTGCTTGACCCCTGGCTGCCGACTGAACACCAGGCCTTAGACAGTGGCGGGGACAGCACATGGCCGTCAGTCGATGGGCAGGCTGTCTGAGATTGCGTCGCACTTCGGAGTTCGGCGAGAGCAACATTGATGCGTTCGTCAAACAGCTAGCAGCCGAATGACGTCTGTGAAGTACTCCGGGTGCTGGAAGGTGCTCACGGTATGGCGAGCCTCTACACACCCGTTGTTGTGTCTCCACTCTGGACGCCCGCCAATGTCGATATCATGGCTATGAACAACTAATGATCCACAGTCATCGATACGGGACGGCTGGCGCGGTTCAAATGGACTGGTTGCAGGCATATCCTACTGACCCTTGAACTCCCTGTGCGTATACTGAGCAACACCATATTCGTGTTGATATAGGGTCCGCCCGCAATGATAACCTGGTACTGCTCAATACGATGTCATAGCTCGAAGACGACATGGATTATTGCGCGCCGACACAGCTAAGTGATATAAATGTACCTTTGGTCCTGTCAGATCACGATATGGGCTCATCCAGGATCATCTGACGAATGATGCTGGCCTATCCCTTCCGGTCGTCGACGACTTCATGACCGTCCGTCTTTGCATCATCTCAGGAGATCCTGTCCGCTTTTATTCTATATATTTTTCACCATTCTGCGCTGTCGGTGCGCTCATGCGCTCTCCTTAGGCTGCTCGATCTTCGCTGTCAAAGATGTCACGATCCCCCCCCTTCCACATACATGCGCGCTTTACATTGTCCACGATGGCACCATCTCGCCGATCTATGGTCCAGGGTTTGCGTCAACCCTCGCTACAACCCACACTGGGGGGCCAGTTCGATCTCGACAAGGGGCGGTCTCATACTCGCATGTTTCTTGGGCCTGCAGATCCGCTCAACCTCGATCGTCGATGTAGCCATCGCTATGGTCGCGCGCACGACCATACTACGCATGATGTCATTCATGTTCTATTGCTGTGATGTTTCTTACCACGGCACTCCACTGCGACTCGCTCCCGTGCTCTGCTCGTCTCGCTTGGACGTATTTTCTCCCTCTTTGTTTACCTGGAGGCGCTCAATATATCTTGTTTATATGCAAGAAGTGCTTCTCTCGGAACCACTGAGCTGTGTCTACATACGCATGACATGCAATATCGACCACGGTATCAAGGATTCGTCTGTTAAATAATATAAACTCAGTCAATTCCAACACGCGGGCTGGACCAAGACTTGCGACGTTGAGTATCGCGCAGTCTCAGGCGGGGGAGCTCGGCTCGACCACGTTGGATCCGGTGTCTACACCGATGCATGGTCCTGCATATGCTGATCGTGACCTAGACGGACATTCCCGGCAACAGCGGCGGCACTGTCCAGGTCGCTACACCGTTATCGCACGCTGCTGTTTCGGGACATCCTCCCAGAGAGCGTCTAATAGGTTATGAACATGAGGCAACCCGAGTGGTCATTTCAGCGCCTGGCAAACATGCTTGCCGGATCAGGCAGCAAACTATCCACGGCTTTGGCGTGAAGCACAATCGTGATGTGTTGCCCAGGCCAACTGAGGTGTTGCGCTGTCACGGAAGAAGACCAGCAGCAGGAAGACAAGCGATATTTGGAAGGGTCATTGAATATTCGGACGTGTTCGCAGCGGGGTTCGTGGGACGGTGTGCACAAGGTGGATATCGAGAAGCTGATGATCTCACGCCGTCTTTCACAACAGGTTTCAGCCTCATGGCCTTATCCATGCAGATCTCTGTGCATCGCACGGGTCTGCAGGCACAGCATATTGAAGGGCACGAGGCAGCGCTTCGTGAGCATTTCAAATATCCTGCAAGGAGGGCGAGGATGCGCAAATCTACCACGTCCTCTTCCTTCGCTCTGTCAAACATTCATTGACCTCCTCTCGCCGAAAGGGGAGAGATACATGGCCTGCAGCAATCACTAACTCGCTTCGGACGTCGCGGAGGGTATCAAGGAACATAGCGTGAGTTAGAGGGACCGAGTTCCGCTTCTTGTGCTCCTGAGGCGTACCATCATCTCATATCATTTAAGGGACGGCGCTGCTGCCTACCATTGTTCGGGGGACCGACGTCGGAAGAGCGATGCTTCGGCCTCTCCCAGTGGAGATCTGGTTGCTAATCGTCGATGAGCTCTGCGCAGCACGCGAATACGATGCGTTGGAAGAGTGCGCATGGTCCAGCAGAGGCTTGCTCAGGGAGACAGCGTGGAGGTACATTCCAAAGGAAATGGCATTTAGGACGCGGGAGGAGGTTTTGAGCTTCAATCTGAAGCAGCGCTGGCAGGGACCAGGCGAAGTGCACATCGAGGGAGGACTGCGTGATGGTGAGCGGCTTCCGATCCCACACCATTCGCTGCGAGGCTCGCGGGAAAATGGTCACGCGTAGGGACGCTAAAGATCGAGAGAGCGGAGTGGCGGGTGGACGACTTCCATCTGCGTTCCCTCTTTCTTGATTTGGGCTGCTTCCCCATCACCGACCTTCACCTCTATGACGTCACATTCCCTTCGGTCCTGACGTTTTGGCGCCTCGTCTGCACCTTCCCTGAATTGAAACTGCTTTACCTCGATGGTGTCAAGATCGTGGAGACTGCCGTCGATGCCCGGACGCTCTCCGCCTTGCGCCTGCTGTCTGCTCCGAGCCTGACAAAGGTTATGCCCGGTTTGGATCCACGCCCAGCAACGGACTCGGCTGGGCTGCTTCACGTGTTTTTGGCGCAAACTGTGCCACCCCTCGAGGCATCTCCATGGCGAAATATCAGGTTTCTGGACTTGTGGGATGTGACGCTTCCGACGGCTGCTGCCTTTGGACGCTTGCTTTGTGCCCTTCCCACCCTCATTGCACTCGAGATCAAAGGGCCATGCACGTTCTCGGGACATGGCTTGAACCCCACAGATGTCACTCCGCACCCTGGCATCCTATCGAGATTCAGAAGTATAAGGTTGGGCAAGGACTTCTCCCTATGCTCTGATCCCCAGTCTGTGCGTGACCTCGTCGATGTCCTCATTCAATCTGGTGCTAGTCGTCACCTCGATCATATCACTGCTTGGCTGTCCACGTCCTTACATGTAGCGACGGGCATAAATGCCCCCTTTAATAGGCTCGTCAAGGATGCTGGCGAATCACTGCTGTCACTCGACCTCCGAGTACTCCCACAAGACAGCTTACCGCTGCTCAACGAGGCATCCACATATGCAGCTGCGAGAACAGGTGCGCTCCCATGACATGGTCCTCTCCAGGTTACACACGATAACACACTGTCTCTCTAGCCTGTTGCTTTGATATTTCGGCGAATACACATCTCTCGTCCCTTGTCTGTCCAGTCGATATCACCCATGAGGGCAGTTCATGGCTTGCTCTTCTACTAGAGCTTCTTCGCCAGGTCACATCCCAGCCAGCACGCATTTTTTGGATCGAAGTGGCCTTTAACGTCAAGGATGATGCAGACCTTGCCGAGTTGTGGCCTGACCTCCCCTCTCTCGATGCTGCTCTCTCCGAAACGTCATTTGACAAACTTAGACATGTCCGGATCATTTTTCATAATGCGAATGAATCGATAGATATCTCCCGGGCGGCAGCTATGGCGGACGCATGCTTACCAAAGCTGGCTGCACGGGGTATTGGGCAGTGCGTACCTGTGTGACGTCTTCACTGCAGCTCTGACGGACACGTCTTGCCCATAGGATTTGGGAGGGTCATAAACGTCATGTCCGGGCCATTAGTGGGGAATTTCCATCAGGTACCATGCATACTGAGCTGGCATTGGTGCAATGATTATTGACGACCAGTGTCTGCAGATGAAGACGCAGACAAAGACAAAGACGAGGATGAAGATAAAGACAAAGACGAAGATGAAGATGACGAGGACAAATTCTAGGGGTCCCTCGCTCGTACTGGGCGCGGAGAAAGGCCCCTTTCACCAACTCACAACTCGACCACATTCGTGCATTGTCCCGCATATATGTCCTGAAGAGTCCTGCGCTCACTTACTCTCAAATCCCCGTCATCTCCGTTTTGCGCCATTACGTCGTTCGACGGCATCCCGCCATTCCATCTATCTCAATACCACCCGATCTGCGCACATGCGTCCTGCGATCATCCCTATACCACGCCCTCAGGACGCCCCACCAATGTCCTCCCCAGACGCGACCCCGGGCGGATGTTGGCCTCTATCGGTGCTGATTGACATACCCGGTCCATCTTCATTACTCCGTCGTTCTGTGCGACAGGAGGTTCGGCAGGTCCGATTCTCGCCCTTGACTCCCTTCGCCCGATGTCGTTTTTCGTTCGATTGCTATTTTCTTGGGTTTCGCGCCGCTGCTCGTCTTCTGTTTTGTGTGCTCTGTACGTACTGTGGCTGCTCTCTCTGCTCGTTTGGTCTGCTACTATCGTGTTCAGTGTGTACTGCAGCTCATTCCTCCGTGCTGTCCTATGACCCGCTCTCTGTTGCTATTTGTTTATCTGCTCTGCTCATTCGCTATGTCACTATCGCGTTCAGCGTGTACTGCGATTTGTTCCCCCGTTGTGCTCGTCACGCCCGTATGTATGATCTACTTCGCTCAGCTCTCGGTGCTTGATATCTCGTTGTTTGTGTACGATACGCGCTGCTCCCCAAACACTGAACTGCATTGATATATATCCGTGACATGCATCGTCGAGCATTTGTCTGATGGTGAAGATCGGTTCAGTCGAGCATCGCGCAAGCTTGGGGGAGTGAGAAGACGGAGACTGATGTGGCAAATGAGGTTGCGAGGCTCAAAGCGCTGTCGAGAAGCACTGCGCTCGCATATGGTGAGACGACCAACAGGCAAGATACAGGTGGCAGGTATTCCCCGTATAGCTGCACCTTCAAAACCCGAACAGATACTCCCGCACAACAACGGTGGAGTTGACCAGGTCTGTACACCTCTATGATCGCTCAGTCTTATCTAATCTCAATCGCTACTCAATCAAGCCGACTCAGAGTACATATTTTCCCACCCTCTTCCGCCTGGTCATAGAGAAGCGTGTTCCATGAGCCCAAAGAAGATCATAATGAGCCTCTTTAACGTAGTGGGAAGCAACTCTTAACCTGACAGTGGGCGTGACACGTGTAAGCGCCCCTTCAGGGAAATATCTCTAGACGCTGGAGGTATCTCCCCATATGCATGTTAAAGACAGTTCGATCTTCGTGCGTTCATCAGCGGTCCACCCAAACATATGTAGTGGCGACTACCTACGGGGATGCAGGCCTGTTGCCGGAAATTCGATGCAATCATCGAAGGCGAATCGATGCTGGGTCGGCTTGCGGAGTTCCGATCAGTTGTCACCAGCGAGAACAGTGAATCGACCGTCACAGGATGCGGATGCCATTAGACACATCCCAGGCATCTCAAATCTCGTGGTGAAGCTCGTTGATCATGATCACTGTCCCACACATGGAGGAGCTCGCGAGGTGTTGATCTGGCCACCTCTCGATCTCTCCAGCGCCGTCTACCTTCGCCGACATTCAAATTCAATGCCGCGACGGACTCAGCGGTGCCACGCCGCTCGCGCTTGAAGTCATAGCCCCTCATCGCCTCATCAATATTGTACAGCAAAAGTGGAGGTTATGCTTATAGGCGTCGTTCAATTCGAGCGGTTCTCTGGCCCTGAGAACTCACCAAGCACGATGACCAACCGTCGCTGAGCTCGTTACTATCCACAAAATACATAGCGATACTGCCAACCACACCCCTTCAAGAGGCCTTGCTAACGCTGTCTGATGTGATCAACATCGCAAACATCATTGACAACCAAGGAATGTAACAGGTGCCAGCGCTGATGGCAGTGCCCACAGCCAAGCTTCGCTGAAACGGATTCTCGCCGATTTAGCCTCCATCGCCATGCCATGGGGTATTGGCGTGCCGCGCATCCCAGGCATGTATAAGAGGTCTCGCACCTCCATGCCGTCTCTTCAGCTCTCATCCCTTTCGCAGAGCCCACGAGACTTTTAGTACAGGTACTGGCTAGTGAGTGGCCTCCCTCAAGTGCTACATTCATGCGGCGCTGACCACGTTCCCTCTGCAGCCTTGCTTTTTTCTTCTTACGACCTTTGTTGCATTCTATATTTACGACCTCAACTCACGTCTAATCCAACGAACCCCCATACTAATAATCGTTATGCGTGCTACCACCACTGTCCCCTTGCTCCTCGCTGTCGCTTCCATCGCGCCCGTCTTCGCTTCGCCCATCGTTCCGTATGTCACTCGTCGCCCGTCTTGCGCGCATGCTGACTTTGTCTCCTACAGCACTTCAGACATCGCATCGCGGGAGGACATTCAATTGCTCGCACGTGCGATCGAGGACGAGCTCTACGCGCGCGGCATGGATGATGAGCTCTACGCGCGGGGCATGGATGATGAGCTTATGGCGCGCGAGCCGCTCGGCCTCCGTCCGATCTTGAGGCTCCCAGTCAACAGGTTCCCGGTGAACAGGTTCCGGTTCGGGCGCATCGGCACCGTCGTGCACCCCCAGCGCTCGCTCGACGACGACGCGCTCTTTGAGCGCTCCTTCGACGGCGAGCTCTACGTGCGCGAGCCGCTCGACTGGGAGAAGCTGGACGGCATCAATAAGACCCCGGTGAACCTCTTCAAGCCCCTGCCACACGCCCAGCGCTCGCTCGACGACGACGCGCTTTTTGAGCGCTCCTTCGATGGCGAGCTCTACGCGCGCGAGCCGTTCGACTTGGCGGCGCTTCGCAACATCAACAAGACCCCGGTCAACCTTTTGAAGCCCCTCCCTGCGAACATCCGCGTCGGGCGCGGGCTCGAGGACGATGCACTGTTCGCGCGGGCGCTCAGCGAGGAGCTGCTTGCGCGCTCGGGCACTGTGCTGGACGAACTCGACTAAATGGTGGCGGGTATGTTGGCGAGTTGTTGTAGGATACATGGTTGCTAGAATGCGAATGGGCGGGACTTGGCTGAGGCTCAATGGCCGATGTGATCATGAAATCTGTCTCCGAGCATACTTCACTTGCACGCACTTGTGCTACGCTCAGCCGTTACCGTTAAGTGCCTGTGAGACCGTGTCGAGCTTCTGGTCTTTGATGTGTGCTGTATTTTCCATGCCCCGTACTGTGCCTACTCACGCTGGTGAGCAGTTGCAAGAAGGTCATGGTCGTCGTCAACCTTTTCACTATGCGTGAGCAGTCTTCTCAGATATTCGAGGACTCGCGTCAAGCAGTATAATGGCCCTCAGGTGCCGAGGTCATCTGTCAGGACGGGGAAGCATCGAGCAGTGAGGCCGCTTCGCGAACTGCATGCAGAACATCCCGCAGGTCTCGCTCAAAGTATCGTGACATTGCATTCCCAGGTTCGTTGCGAGGAGCGACGGCGGCAGGGTATTATGAACAATGTCAAACAAGCAGTGGGGCTCCTGCATGCCAGAAGATGAAGGACATGGAAGCGCTTCTTCGGGGACTTGCCACTGTGAATGATAAGCTCCCGCATAAGTCAAAACGCACTCAGCCGCGCAAAGAGAGATCTCAGTACAGCTGTTCCTTCGAGGATAGCCTCATTCACAGTCGTAGTCGGAGACGAGTTAAGATGCGTCCTCTTGTCTCCTAATAGAACCTAAGGTTTCAAGAAAATGTGAACATGCGTACAAGAGTGTAAGAATCTAAGTGGCAAAGCGGGGCTGAGACAGGAACAATATAGATTCCTATGATATTTGTACGGTGTCAACATAAATCTGATCAGTGAGCATATCGGAACTCTGCCTGCCATGTATGCTCGTCGACATAATAAAGCTGCACAAGTAAGAGGTCCTCCAACTCGAGGCCTCCTTGACCGACATGGCAGTCTTGAGCACCCGGCCAGCCCGAAGGTAGAACTGGTTCAAGTTTATGTCCCCTGCATTGCTATTGGGCCACATGTTCGATTTAGCGCCGGAGCCAACCGTTGCAAAAGAATTGAAGACCTACATCGACGAATTCGTCAAAGCATATGGCAATTATACGGGCTAATTCCAGCCGCGTCACATGGTGCACCGTCGTCTTTCCCTCCTCAGTATACTTCAAGTTGATGATTCGCCCAAAATCAAAGTGCGGGTACGATGGCCACTGTGGCAAGGGGTCAATTCGCCTAGGTTATGCAAAGCGAGGCAATGCACGCACAAGAATCCGGAATGTTAGCTGTGCTTCTCCAGAGCCTTGGAAGATGCATTTGTCTTGATCATTCAAGCACGCGCTTCCATCGAGCAGTCCAGTTAGGCCAACGCCAAAGCCGACGGTGGAATTGACGCGGTCGAAGCGGACAGAACCAATCCCTTCAAAACCCGGACGAGTATAAGGTAGCAAGCTGTCCGGTTTGTGGAGACGCTGGGGAACAACGCGATATTGAGGAATCTCGGCGCCGGACTGTGGAGCTTCTGCTTGGAGTATTGACTTGGAAGATGAGGCAACAGGATGTCCTGCCGCTTCAGGGTGTTGCTCATTGGTGGGGAGATCATGGATAAGTGGCCACTGGTACATCGTTTGATCACGGAGCCTAGTTGGTAACGAAGAAGCAGGTAACACGAAGGCAGCATGGTTGAAGTTCAGCCAAGCGTAATATATATGAACACTCAGCGCCTTCTTATAGCCACAAATCCTGAGATCAGATTACATTGTCCAACGAGCCACCGACGAATTGGGAAACAAGCGGGCCCGTTCATATTGGGCGACCCGTTGACGTGGTAGCGGCGTCCTGTTATCATGCCCATGGGTCGTGGCTTGCGACTAAAACATGTTTTCTACAGGGAGCCAAGAATACGGTGTTAAAGTTCGTCCGAGACCCGAAGCGAGAACGATCAACGAAGATATATCGCGTTTGTCTGAGCTCTGTCAAACGCGTAAGGAACGTACAGGACGGCTCGCGCAAAGTCTGCAAGGTACTACAAACATGGTCAAATACGGTGGCATGCGCTCGCCACAATCTCAAGTTCCAACATACGGTACAACTTGAGATATGGTTTGACTGCGTATATGCAATGGTTTCCCAACCAGTGACATTGCTTTGACGCGGATGGTCACAGCGCACGTGGATGTATAACGCCGCGTTTCGTGGATTAGTTTGTCACGCCGAGGCATTACTGCCGGATTGCACTACGTGCTGTGCTTTGCTACATGCCAAATGCGCACCATATCCACGAACCTCAGATGACGATAAGTATATCACGGCATTCTTGTGCTTTTTGCTGGTTCGGGCGCCTTAGAAGTTGCGGTACTACGACTCCGGGACGACTCAGAAAGTCCTTCATTCAACTCATTTTATATGAAGGCTCGCTCGTGCATGTACCCTCTGAGTTGTTCAACAGCGAAACACTCCTAAACCAGCAAAATAGGTTTGTTGTGATACATGCAGAGACTATTGGCCGTTCCGCCACTACGGGTTGATACCGCCACAAGCTTATTATAGTTGATACCGCCACATTGATACCGCCACAAGCTTATTATAAGCACCAATTGTGCTTTGACCAAGGATATGTAAACCATTGTTTAAGAATGCCGTACTTAATTATTTATAGCTGGCAGCGTGTGTGTAACGGTCTGGTCAGAAAGTGGCTGTTGTCGCTTTGCCCGAACGTAGGACCACTTTCGGAAACCATACTTAAAGGTTTGTGCAAACGTAACCCAGTGCCGCGAACCACTCCTAAGCTTTGTCACCTTACGATATACATCAAATGCCTAAAGCATCCTCAGCGTACGGCTACCCCTCGACACGCCCCGCGAAACAATCTGCGGCGTGGCTTCCCATATACCAAACGACCCACAATTACCTTGTCCCATATTATCTCTCGAGGCCGGTCGTCTCAAGCCGCGGTGACACGCTCCTAACGCTTGGAGACAGAGAGGGCTCCCCGCGCCTCGCTGAGACATCTGCGCGCAACTTCCAAGAACGTTCTGACTATACTTCCAATGGTGTCCTGCCCAGTCAACCTCGGTGTTCAACTCACACGCAAGAGGTGGCCGACCATCCTAAAGCCCAGTATTGTCATGAAAGGGACTACGTATCCGCCCAGCTAGCGCGTGTGCCCCAAAGGACGTTCGATCCGTGCTACGTTGTCCGGAAGAAGAAGCTTCAGATGCACATCGAACCGCGAGGCATCACAAAGGCAGATATCGGTCGCGTGACGTTCGACTTACTCGGCAGAAAGCCGGGCACCGGTATCATGATGTCTCTTCTTGAACGGAGCGACATCGACACTTGGATTGTGGACGGACTCAGGCCTCTAGATTGGCGCGATATTCAAACGAGGTCAAGGAAACTACCGAACAGTATCAGCTTGAGTATCAATGTAAGCAGCCATCAACGGAGGTCAGACGGACTGATTCATTTTCACACGCAGTGGCCTGGGTATCCCCTAACAAGCAAAGAGTTTACCGGATCCATTAAGCTGATAAAACCGGACGGACTGGCTGTGACCCGGCTGGATCTCGCTCGTCTTGTCGTGGAGCATTTTCGAACATTTATAGAAGTTTGTTTTATGTGTACATGCTAAGTGAATTCGCTGGCTAACATACTACTCACAGTTTGCCACGCAAGAGAAACAGAGGTTCGAGATCTGGGGAGCCGAAATTGGCCTCGAAGACATGTGGCTCGTTTCCCTGTATCAGATGTCAGGAAGGGTTTGGTTTGCAGAGATCTGCGTTCCGGCATACATTCACTAAGTCATGTTTGGGCACTGCTGACTGCACCTTGTGTATTTATTCCATAGCATACTTCTGCGAAAATTTCGTCAATGAACGATGTCTATTACATAATCTCGTTTTACACGGTCTGCAAAATGCGTGGAATTCCTACATACCTCAATAGGCAACTTTACCACGAGCAAATAACTAGATCCTGGAAGGGCTTGTACTCCGAGTGCTGCTGTGAATGACCTACGCTTAAGCTTCAGCCAGCCATGAAAAGGGGAGGCTGCAAAGAATATAATAAGGCATTATGCAGAATTGGGTCACCCAGTGGTTCTCACGGCAATGATGAGCAATACGTGGTGCGGACTTTGCAAGTAGGAGAATTGCTGTGGGTGTATAGGCCTGCAGCGTGTTCAAGTGGATGTGTGTGTTCTATGAATCGATCGATCCGCCGCCAGTCGCTCACATGTAGTTTGAGAGGTCGAACTGACCACCCACGGTGTCGCTATGTCCTTTTGGAGTATAGGTGGACCCCGCGCATCCGTTAAAGACAATCGCAGGCAATTCGCGAGCAAAGGGCAATATTATTAGGCTACTGACCTGTAAGACGAGAATCTGTGACGCTTAGCCATCCATGTAGCTCGATTATAGCAAGGACGATCTAAATACCCTATCAACGATGGGAGGCAGAGCCTCAGCCCGCTAGGACAACTGGAATCCGAGGTTCTCGGATCCAGCCTAAGTTGGGATGGTGGAAGCAGATATTTCTCGCACCTCGGTCCTCGGGAGACGACGGGTCTTCGGGTCGTTGCAGGCAAGCCAATCGCAACGCGGATCACACGGTCACCTGACCGTCCGAGGCACAGCGCTTTTAAGTTCTAGCGAAATGATGGTTCTACGCGACAACAGACTGAAATCCGAGTGCGCGGAGAACTTACATGCAGAATTTGAAAGTGGACATGCCGAAAGAGGGTCTAAATCCGCGGCTGCACGATGAAGACATTGATGAAGTATCTGTATTCTCTTATCTGGCTGTTAGTAGGCGCCTTCTATTCATCGATACACGAGGCGGTCTTTGCATCTCTCCCAGTCTCCGTTGTTCTGTCTTCACCATCTTGAACACAGGTCGACATGTCTGAGTACAGGCCAGGTCCATGTAGGCTGTTTGCGAGCGGCAGCGGCTGTCGCTTCGGAAATCGCTGCAAGTTCTCGCACGACATTTCAAGTGGTACTCCATCATCCAGTCAGCGAACAGGCAGTCCATCGCCCAGCCATGGATACGCGTCACAGCCCAGGACAGGTTCCCAGTCGGGCGCACCTCCTCGCGTCTGCAATCTGTACTGGAACACCGGCAGCTGCGCTCGCGCTTTCGAGTGCTCTTTTAAGCACGAGCGTAAACCTGTCGCTGCCACCAGTGTGGAGGCAATTCCTGCCTTGTCCACTGAAGAGGAGGAATCACCGGACTTCTTCTCCCCGGAGGGGCTTGCTATGCATAATGGCTCTGTTCGGGAAGAACGACATGCGCTCACTCCGAGCGAAGCCCACAATCATATCAAGCCCTTCCTTGCAGATAACTACAGATTTGATAATGCATCGAGAGTACAGGGGTTTGTCCGCATTCTTGCTAGTGTGAACGACCGCAACAAGGCTTGGGTACGTGCACTATACCTACAGCTTGATGTCGTCTGACTCCTGAGGCTCCGCGTGTAGAACTCGGATAGTGCGCAGGTAGATTGTACTTTACTTATTCATAAACAACTGTATCACTGATTGGTATGATACGCAGGCATTTCTTGACGTGGTCGTGAACGTACGAGGATCTAGTTCATGCTTGGTGCATTCGCCCATTAACGACCGCTCTCTAGGGCAACGCAATTCTACGCATCGGAGACGTTCTCCGATTTCAACCTGTGAACTATATGATTGGTCACGGAAATGGGGCGCTGTCATTTCAGAAAGGGTATTTCCCGATATTTGGGGTACGTTGCACAGTATATAGCAAGACAAACTCGTGATAAATGTTTTATTGTCGTAGTATTTTGCCTCGAATCTGGTACTGAAGAGTACTTTACACAAAAACATCAAGTGCGTGCAAGCATACTCTGCTCAACCCGTTGCCTGCGCTGACAATTCAGGGTAGTCATCTCTACACGGTTCTAGAAAATAACTATGACGTCGTTCATAGCGTTATCGAACAATGTATCGGAGGGATGGTCCAGACCAAATCATGGCAGGATCCCACTCCGAATCTCCCGCCTACGTTACAGAGCTCTCTGTCCGGCGTCGTGGTCTTCAAGACCCTGACGACCGTCCTCCTCCAGTGCGTCTTGGTCTGCACAGCCCGTTTCTTGGCTGACCTACCCGTTCATGTAGATTCTTCAATCGTTTCAAGGACGCAATCCGCAACCACCCGAACATCGTGAATCTTGTTAACAACCTTGCTACTTGGTTTGAAATCTGGTCAAGCGACGTTTCCGCCATCCCTGCTCGCTTCCTAGACACGATCGTCTCCTCGCAAGCTCACGTTCGCAAATTGACACTCAGTCAGCTCAAGAACGAGGTTGACCGGTTGCAACAAATCGTGCAGCGCGAATCCGACGCGGCTGAGCGCAAGCGGCGCCCCGCGGCCCCGGTGCGCATGAGCGCAGCGCAGCGCCGTGAGGCGCTCCTTGCGCAGCTTGCACAGACCTACGACCCGCCGGGCGAGCTGCGGTCTGGTGGTTCGCGACATGACAACGACAAGGAGGACATCGCAGATATCCGAAATGCGCCGACGAATGACGAACTGCTGTGTGCTGTGCCGCCGTATCTGCCTGTATTCCTTCCGGACGCTCCGCATCACCTTCCGGTGGGCTCGATGGAGCGGCACCTCGACATCCAGTTTAGGCTCCTGCGGGAGGATTTAATGTGCGTGTCCACGCCACATTCTCTCTGCGCGTAGCTGATAGGTGTGCAGCGCGACGATGCGATCCTCGATCGCCGCGGTACACTCCGATCTGGCAGCCGTGTGGCAATCTGGGACGCAGCAACGTGTGCGTACGAAGCTCGAGGAGCTGCTTGCAAGCAAGGGTGGCGCATACCGGACGAGCGGGTTCGATTCTGTTTTCTTCCAGCTGTACACGGGCATAGAGTTCGCGCCGGTACGCGCGGAGCGGCGCGACCTGACTGTCGGGCTCGTGCTCGATACGCCCAATCACCGTGCTGCGCGCGATAAGGACGCGAAGAAGCGATACGACTACTGGGAGCACTCCAAGCGGCTTCAAAGCGGGACGCTCGTCGCGCTTGTTGTTGTCACCCATAGGACGTTGCGCATATTTCTCGGCGTGATCACATCGTTCAACAAGGACATCGCCGAATCGTCGCGCGGGGGCCCGGATACTGTGCAGATCCGGATCTCGTTCTTCGATGCGGAGGTGGAGTTCATGGCGCTCAGGCAGGAGAAGGTGTCCGTGGACGCCTCGACGTTTGCAGTGCTGATCGATAACAGCGTGATGTTTGATGCCGCGCGGCCGTTCTTGGAACGGCTGCAGACGATCGAGCCAACCGAAATTCCGTTTGCACGGTACATTACACATTCCGGGTCACTCGAGGATGTGGAGCTGCGTTCTCCACGCTTTGCGACTGCGCCCGGGTTTCGGTACAAGCTTGAGAGCCTCGCGAAGCCGGATCATGCAGGCCGGATCCAACCATTGAGCCTCTCTGCGGAGGGCGGCATTGATGGCGCTCGCAGGCAGCTTCTGGCATCGAGCATACTCGACCAGAGTCAAGTCGATGCTCTAGTCAACACGCTGACTCGCGAGGTCTCGTTGATTCAAGGGTGAGCATTCTGTTCGAATGTGTGACGTGATAGCTCACGGTGATTACATCGCAGACCTCCTGGGACCGGCAAGGTACCCGCGGTCCATGATTATCCTACTCTTTTCGATCACTGATGGATACAACGGCAGAGCTTTACCGCCAAAGAAATCTTGCGTGTATTATTCGCCAGTGGGATCAGGCCCATTGGTACGTCAATCACTTGAAAGGCAGTCGGCTCGCTCATACATTTGTTGCCATCTTTAGTACTGATAGCGTTCACAAACCACGCTCTCGACCATCTTTTGACGTCAATTCTAGATGCAGGTATCACGAAGAAATTTGTCCGCCTTGGCTCACGGTCCTCCGACGAGCGCATAGCCGAGTTTACGCTTGATAAGCTCGAGAAGATCGCAGGAGGTCAAAATATGCTAGAACGCCCTATCAAGCGGCAGTATGCGACTATGAAGAAGCTCGAGGAGGATATGGTCAAAGTGATGACATCGATACAACTGCCAGAACTCAACTGGGAAGAAATACAGAAGTTTCTTTTGATTCACTATCCTGATCATGCTGAGAGCTTCGAGGCACCTCCTTTCTGGATCACTATGTTACGGGAGAAGATAGAGGAAGACGAGAGAACCGACGGGGAATGGCAGAAAGCTGGAAAAAAGAAGCAAGCGGACAACGCGCTGGCACATACCATCTATAGCTTTTGGCGCGAAGGCAGAGATCTAGAGTTTATCTCGCCGCCAGTGCAACCTCGCTCCAAGAACAAGAATAAGAAAGGCAAAGCGAAGGCACCGGAAGCTCCCGCGGATTCAACTGTTCAGACATTCTTCGATTCACTCGGATTTGACTCGTCGCCTCCAATTCCAACTACAGATCGCTCACTCAAGTACCTGTTCGAGTCTGGGAACATTTGGTCTATGTCTATCACCGAACGCTGTCGACTAGCGGCCGATTGGGAACAAAACATACGCCGACTAGCGTACACATCTAATCTACAGCATTACGAGCAACTGAGGACTCAGTACAAAGCTGCTTGCAAGGAGTATCAAGATATCAGGGACGAGGTAAGTCGTGCATGTACCGTCTGATTGGCGAGAGATCGCTCATATTAATGAACACAAGACTCGGCGTCGGTTGTTAAGCCAGACGGATCTTATAGGCTGCACAACAACAGGTGAGCAGAGCTGTCATACTTCAATCTCGGCGCGTTAAACCCCGTCCATTCGTTTAGGGGCGGCCAAGTTGACGAATTTGTTGAACGTTGGTATGATCAATAATGCCGTCCGTTCATTCTTCTAATTCCCGTCCAGAATATCTCCCCCAAGGTCCTCATGGTAGAGGAAGCAGGCCAAGTACTCGAAGCACATGTTCTTACTTCTCTGGTTCAGTCTGGTATGTCCTACCTAATCAATACTCCGCAAAGCTTTGATGAAGGTTTGCTCAGTGGATCAGCTTATCTGCATTGGTGATCCACAACAGCTACGACCCAATTTAGCGACCTATGGTGAGTACGACTCACCAGCTGCTCTGCGTATGAGCTCATACTGGGGACAGCACTTTCAATGGACTCCGAGCGTGGAAAGCAACTCTTCAAGTTTGACAGGTCCCTGATGGAGCGACTTGCGAACAATGGTCTGCCCATGTCTCAAATCAATGTTCAGCGGAGAATGAGACCCACTATCTCCCACTTCATTCGGTACTCATGAGGTTTCTTTCACTTCCGTTGTGGAAACTGACACCTGCATCAGGCAAATCTTGTACCCGAAGCTCGAGGATAATGAGATTGTCTTTGGTTACCCTCATGTTCAGGGTATGCAGAAGGACGTCTACTTCTACAGCCATACAAACAAGGAGAACGGTGCCGAGGATTCTGTCTCAAAGTTCAATGCATTTGAGGTGCGTTGGGATGGATCGCGTCTATCGCCAATGCTTAGCTTGCATATCTTAGGTGGATATGATCCGTGACCTCGTCCTCTACTTTCTGAAGCAAGGCAGTTACAATGGGCCCGGCGACATAGCCGTTTTGTGCGCTTACCTTGGTCAATTGCAGAAGGTGCGCGCCGCCTTAAGGGATCTCAAGATCTCTGTCTCTTTGGACGAGAGAGACCAGGAGCAGCTCGCGAGGCAAGGAATAGATGAAGAACCTGAGTTCGAAGAAGTCTTTGTGACTAAACACGTACGTTTTGACAATATATAGAATACAGTAAAACGAGCTAATTCCTCGATAGGTTCGACTCGGAACGGTGGATATTTTCCAAGGACAGGAGGCCAAGATCGTTATCGTGTCCTTGGTCAGGAATTCAGGAACATACGAAACCGGGTCAGCCTCCATTGGGTTCTTGAAGGTACGTAGACGGGTACACAGATTGCACGCCGGGATGTCTGACAAAGCAATAGAGCTCCAACCGAATCAATGTCGCGCTTTCAAGGGCTAAACATGGGCTCTTTATTCTGGGGAACGCCGCCAACCTACGCAAGAATGATACGTGGTCGACAATCATAGATGAAATGGAAGTACGAGAAGAGGTCGGCCAAGGCTTCCCCATCGTCTGCCCTCGTCATCCAGAGCAAACACAGTTAATTACAAAGCCGGGAGAGCTCCCTCGTCTGGCGCCAGGAGGTGGTTGCCTGCTTCCATGTGGGTATCGCTTGTCCTGTGGCCATAATTGTCCATCTTCCGTACGTGATAACGTTCTATTGTACTATACAGCTATAAGTACTGACATACGCCTATAGTGCCATGCCGCTCTTGACAACCATCGCAGCACTAAATGCAACGAGGCCTGCAATCGCACACCATGTCCGCGTGGCCATCCATGTTCACGAAGGTGTTGGGAGGACTGTGGAGATTGCGAGTTCCCTGTGTATGGAATTACGTTGCCGTGCGGACACGTCAAGGATCGTATCGCGTGGTAAGTCGTCAACGGATACATGAGCACATCTTAGTCTTACCGAATTTGCATAGTCACATGCTCGACAAGCTGGAGAAGATTATTTGTAGGGTCAAAGTTCGGAGACCTCTTTTACGCTGCGAACACACCGCAGAGATGTCGTGCTGTCAGGATGGCAGCTCGATCCGGTGCAAAGAGCTATGCGGCGAGGCTCTGACATGCTGCTCCAAGACTTGCAAGTCGGCGTGCTCTGACTGTCAGGCGGCCACGGTCGGACCGGCATTGTCCGCTACGAAGACACGTTTTGCTCGCACTGCACATATCTCACATCCATGCGACCGTCTGTTGTACTGTCAACACAAATGCGGCCTACCATGCTCACAGGACCATCATTGCAATTTACGTTGCGACAAGCCCTGTCGCCAACAGTGTATTCATTACAAATGTCCTAAACCCTGCTCCGAACCCTGCGCTCCGTGTATGGAGCCCTGTCCTTGGATGTGTGCTCACCATGCATGTCCGGTTGTATGCGGCTCGGTGAGCAGACTGTCTCATACTTTCATCATACGTATTACTGATTTCAGTTGAGATCTGTGCGCGCTTACCTTGCGACGAGGCCTGCCCGAATACACTCGCTTGTGGACATGCATGCCCTTCAAGTCAGTCTCACCCTTTTGTGCTTATCCGACACTAAATATCTACGTTTGACAGTTTGCGGCGAGCCATGTTCCAAACAGGCCTGTGCTGTTTGCCTTCCTGACGAGCGCAAGTCCGACATCGTCGACTTCATCATGCAGCGCCGGCTGGATGAGATTGATCTTGAATCTACTGACGTCAGCGAACGACTGATCTCGTTAGAATGTGGCCATATCTTCACAATTGAGACGCTGGACGGCCATTGTAGAATGGGAGAATACTACGAGATCGACGCCATGGGTGCGTATACAGCCACGAAAACGCCTCCGATCAACTATCAGACTCCCCCGACCTGCCCAACATGCCGAGGTCCAATCACTGCGTTGCGCTACGGTCGAGTAAACAAGCGCGCTACTCTCGACATCCTGGAACAGAATGTAGCTGGCACCATGTCTCGTGCTCTGGACAATATCTCGCCACTCATGGAGCAGGCGGCTTCGAACTTCGACGGTATGCAGAACGCCGCCAAAGAACTGAAGGCGCAAATGGAAGATGTCTCTGCCCCATCTCCGACGCGTTCTCCACACGGCAAGTCGACAGCGCCGCTCGATCCAGACCTCCTTGGAGTAGGCGCCTTGCAATCCGTTCATGGATTCCACAGAGATGAGGCGAAGGGATGGCAGGCTATTGTGAAGGACCTGATAACTGGCTACCGCAAGACCGTGAAGGTCGCGAACACCCGCGGAGCACATGTGAAAGCATACGAGGCCGCCTTGGCTACTCTCTATCGCTTAGAGCTGGAAGCCATCGCTTGTGACCCTGAGCGCGCCTCAGATGCCCCTGAACCTCTTGCTATGAAATCCGTGAATGCGAAGATCGGTCAACCACCGCACAAAGCAGATACACGATTCCAAATCGAGGCATACATACTGTCCCTTGAGGTGCGGCTCATGCTTGCCCAAGTAGGCGTTAGCCGCATCGCGAATCTGCCGTTGGGATCCGACAGCGAGAGCGTTATGAACCATCGGCAACTATGGATTTCGTTTGTGGCATTCATTTTCGAGTCTTGTCTTGCCGACGCGCGCAAGGCGTTATACATGGCACAGAAGTCGTCCGCATCTCGTCAAGCGGCGAAATGTTCCACGTACATCCTGCGGTCCGAGTTCGAATACTTCCGGGTCGACATAGTGGAGGAACGCTCGAAGCGAATGTCGGGAGGCGCTTACAATGAGGCTAACCGGAAGGAGCTTGGCGAGCGTGTCAAGGAGAAATCGCGGTACATGTTGGAGTTTATGAAGAAGGCGGCGGAAGAATACATCCGCAGCCGCTCTTCGAACACACAGGAGGAGCTGCTGGCAGAGATGGAATGGTTCGAAACCAACTGTATGCGGAAGGTCGTTCGTTGGAGGGAGGATTGTGATGAGCTCGAGAAGTTCGTCACACGGGTCGGCACGTTCTATCAGCCGATCACTCTGCAAGAACGGCAGGACATCGTGAAGGCTCTAGATTTCGGTGGGCTACCTGTCCATTCTCATCTTGTTCTCAAGAGCTGAAGTTTTATCGCAGCGACTCGAGGTCACTTCTATAATTGCGAGAATGGACACACGTTCGTCATCGGAGAGGTTCGTTGTTGCCATGTATCAGTGTTCAATGCTAACGTTTTCTATTATAGTGTGGTGGTGCAATGGAGACAGCAAGATGTCCTGAATGCGGGGCGGCAATAGGAGGCAGCAGCCATAGGTTGATATCATCGAACACGAGGGCTACGGAGTTCGAAGAGATATTGCGGGGCGGGGGAGCAAGGCCAGGCTATGTTGACTTAATGGGGTGACCATTCTATCGATCTAGTTGGGTGGCGGATGAATGCGGGCGGAATGCACGACGACAGAGCCGGGTTTGTGTCAGTAAGGGTACAAGTTGTATGTGCGTATAGCCTTGGTCCAATCAACTATCATCTCCGTGCGAGCTCGACCTCAGACCAGAAAATCCAACAATTCGTGCATACTCCAGATATACATCATCCCGAATAGGCAGTATTTGAGATAGGTTCTGAAAGAGCATCGCATGGTCGACGCGCGTATTTTGCCCTGAATCTGAAGACGAAATTGACGCTGCCATTGCATGTAGAAAATGTAAATTAGACAATAACGGCATCAGGCAACATCCATTAAACGCGCAGATCTTGGAGTACTCAAAAAGATGCCTTCAAATGAGGCTGTAGGGCTACTTTGTATACTTCATTCAACCCCGTTGTCAACTATCCGAGTGAGCCACTTGTCGTCACGCAGACGCGCGCGTCTCTACTAACAGTGAGGTTGGAGCATTGTTCATTTTTGGCACATCAGAAAGTAACTAAAGAGTATAGTCTATGGTCCACCTGGACGACCAGTTGCAAAACGCCTCCAAGGATATCCAACGTATTTGTGAGTTTTATACCTTGGTGGTTGATAGCGACCACCGACTGAAGTCATAGTATAGTGGACAACCTAAATCAATGGAGTAATGTCCCTGTATTAGAGTGTAGAGCCCTCATAATTGATCACGACTTGAATGCGTCTGATCTCGGACGAGCAGCAATGGCATCCGCCGTCCGGGTCCTGGCCTGTCCTGGCGAGCAACGGCTGCAACGCTCACGTGACAGTGCACGGTACGTCGCGGCTGATCGAGACACGTAGGTTGCATACGCTGGTGTCACCATGCGTATCCCTGTTTCTCCTCATAGTATTCTGCCACACCTCCACCCAATATAGATACGAATACCGCCATTCGCTGTGCGACGCGATACGACACGTCACAATGAAAGTTCCAAACAGCGTGAACAGAGCACCTAGTTCGCTTCCGGGACATCTCATGCATCCCTCGTCCAGCCCCATGCACCCGGCAGGGCACCTTGTTGCCCCGCGATAGTCTCGAAGTCTGTCGCTCTCGTATTTGATGCCTGTAGCTGATGATCACTGCCCCCGATCGGGGCGTTGCACTCTGGACATCTCGCTGACTGAGTTGCCCCACCACACTTCCGTAAAGTCAGCAAGGCACAAGCGGCAGTAGCTTAGAAAGCAGCCAGTGACATACCTCAGTGATGACGAATGTATGTCCATTCTCGCAGTTGTAAAAATGGCCTCTATGTGCTGAGGGCGGTCTCAATTTGTGCGACTGGCGTCGTAATATGATGACTCACAGAAGTTGAATGCCCTGACTATATCTTCTTTCTCTTGTAGAGACAATAGCTGGTACGGGCTATCGACAAGCAAATACTCTTCGAGCTGTTTGCATTCCTGCAGCCAGCAGTGCACCTTACGGGCACAGTTGTCCTGGAACCATATACCTTCTTTCTTCAGTTCCTCCATGTTCTGCGAAGGGCGACTACGAATGTATTCCTGTCTATGCTTCTCTAGTGCAGTCTCCATCTTCGTCGCATTAATCCTGACTGTGTTCGCCAGATTATGTCTCTCCGGCTGTGCGTAGGAACCGAGCCTGAGAAGACGGCCTCGTTCCTCAAGGAGACGGATCCGAAACAGCTCGAAGACGGATCGTATGACGTATACGGTGCATCGCGCCAGCTGGCGAGAGGCAGACGATTTTCGCGCAATGCCCACCGCTTTGCGTGCATCAGCGCTGCAGGAATTGAGTACGAACTCGACGAAGGACAACCACAGTCGATAGTGCTTGACTGCTTCCTGGCTTGCAGCGCTCAGTCGGAGCGCCTCGACACGGCTCGTGGCAATCTGGGCAAGCATGAAGCGCACTTCAAGGGAGAGGATGTACGCTTCGACTTGGAATCGCGTGTCGGCTTTGTACGGCGGCTGCCCGATCTTGGTCTTTACGCCCTCCATTGCGCGGTGCTCTGGTGCATCCCAAGTGCTCCCGGGATTCCTAGCGATGATGTCCAGCTCGAGTCGGTAGAGCGTGGTCCAGGCAGCCTCATACGCTTTGGCATGCGCGCCTCGGGTTGTGGCCACCTCCACGGTTTGTCGATACACGTCTTCGAGGCCGGCAATGATTGTGTGCCAGGCCTCCGCCTCGAAGCGAGAGAGCCCATGGATGGATTGCATCGCGGCAGGCATGAGAAGACTCGGGGAAAGCGGTTCTGTCGGTCTCCCCTCCGTGCTGCGCTCGGCAGACGGTTCGGAAGTGGTGTATACGAAACTCCTCAGCCCACTCGCGGCTGCTTGCATGTTCTCTACTTGGGGGATGAACGCGCATATCCTAGAGGAGACTCCGTCGAGCGCGTGAGACATGCTGCTTGCCACATTCTGTTCCAGAATGTCGAGCGTTGCGCGCTTCGTCACCCTTCCGTAACGCAATGCGGTTATGGGACCCTGCATGTCGGGCAAGTCGGAGGAGTTTGGTAATTGACCGGTGGTGCCTTTGTTGCAACAAAATGTCCCGTAGAATCGACGTCGTAATATTCGGACATATTGCAGTGTCCGTCTAGCGTCTCAACCGTGAATATATGACCGCATCGAAGGGTGAGCAGTCGCTTGCTGGTGTCGTGCGACTGAAGATTGATCTCCTCCAGGCGACGCTGCATGATGAAATCGACTATATCTGCCTTGCAATCCGCGGGAAGGCATACTACGCAGATCTGCTCGGAGCAGGGCTCACCGCAGACTGATTATCATGATCATGTATGAGCTAATGTAATTTGTAATTATGCTGAAGGGCTTACCAGACGGACAGGAGTGATCGCATCGGAGTGATTTCGGACATGGCTGATCACAGGGAAGGCGTGTACAGATCTTGAAATCCCAGGTTCAGCCAAATGGTCCGAAGCCGAAAAACGCACACTTACTGAACCACATACGACTGGACATTTATGATGTGCACATGACCAAGCGCATTGCGCCATACAGGGTACACAAGGCTCGGAACAAGGTCTCGAACACTGGTGATGGACGCACTGTTGCCGGCAAGCCTGTCGGCAGGACGAGCTGCAGTGGTGATCTTGCGAGCATGACCGCCCACACTCGTGTCGACAATATAAGTAGCGTTCACAGGGATGAGGAACGTGTGTCGTGCGAGTAATTCGATTGGATACCTGTAATCCCGCAGGCCCGGAAGTCGCCTTCTAGCAGTCGTAGCATGCAGACTTACAGGCGTTGGAGCAGCAGGCTAATGCGCCTCTGCAAGGTTCGCTGCAATGTATGGATGCCGGTTTCTGGTAGCACAACACCTCCGCGCTGTGCTCGCATCGGGGAAGAGGCTTGCGTAATCGTATCTGGTAAGCGATTTGGTCTAGCTTGTCGTACATGTGGCTGCGTGTGGACATGAGTCAACGGCATCTACTGCACCTACGCGTACTCACCATGGAACCATTTCTTGAACATGACCACAAGGTAGCGTGACTTGGAGCATTGGGAATTCGCACTCTCCGCAGTCTTCGGAGCAAGCAACCTCCCCCGGGGGCGAGGCGATCTAGGTCCCCGGGCTTGATAATAAGATGTTTCTGCTCCACACCGGCACACGACCACGTGACCCGGACCGGCAGCGACGCTTTTTTTTTTTTGAATGCGATGTTTAGACTCCGTACAACAAGGTACATGCAGAGTAATAACAAGCACGTCAGACAGGCCCTCAGCACCCCCTCTCAGCATCCTGCAGTCTCCGATTCCGCCACCCCTCGCCACAACCACCCACGGGGAGCGCTCACGCTGCCGCACATGCGGCCTCCCGAGTACCCAGGTGCCCCATCCCGCCGACAGCCCACTAAGGCAGGGCTGGTTACATCCAAATAGAACCCGACGAGCCACTTGCGAGTGGCGCGGCGAGAGCGCCAGTTGAAGGAAGGGCGCTATACTGAAATCAAATCACGAGGTCCCCCAAGGACCCTGCCTTCCACCCCCCATGCGTCCAAGCATACCCCATACTGACAGAGCTTCAGGCCCGCACCCATCCAAAGGGCCCCTTGCGGACATAATACCCTTCCGGCCTGGCAGCCCATTGACTGCAAGACAGACCGTGACGTGGTAACAACTTAAGCAGAGAGCTGGTCTTATCCAGAAGCTCCACCGACGGAGGATTTTGACCTCTCGAGCCAAGAACCCAGTTCTCCTGATGACCTCGCTACTATCAGATACGGGGTTTTGCAAACTCATGCATTGTTCCCTTCGCTCTGCTTGAACTACCAAAAGGATTGTTGTTATTTTAGTCAGGCATTGTTGTAAATACATGGAGGAGTACCCAGAATGAAGCTGGGGGCCATACACGAAGAACACCCAGTGGTAGCGAGATGCCGCATTCGAGGCCTCGCATTGCAGTAGTTCTGCAAATTTTATCACGCCTGGGTCACATATCATGTATGCCCTGAGATACTCATTCGTACGAGTCTTCCCGCAGACGATGGGCCAGGCACGGGTAAGCTCACCTGGCCTCCGAGTCATGTGGGCTCGTGTCTTCACTCTCAACGATGCTACCGATGGCAACAACTCACAATCACCCGTTTGTCACATAGCATTCTTAGAAATCCATTTCAATCAGGTGGTGTCTTGCATAGTCGTTGACCGCTGTCAAATAGCGCCTTTCAATCTTGAGGTAGCGCAATTCATTTGAACGAACTCGCCCGACCTTATCGCAGTGCACGTACCATTCTCGTTATGTTCTGAATCTCAACAGGCCCTCAGGTGAAGACTTGATTGACTACGGATCTGCAGATGAGACGACCGAATAGTGATAGAACATCTATTAGTCTAATTTCTCATGCTCTACTTCTGTTCGCGAGGGAGAGACAAGGTAATCGCGTATGATCTAATGCCACAGGGCTACTTTGCTCAAGGTCCCATATTTATGTGCCCAACCCCCGTGCATGTGGTTTCGCACGGCGCGTGAGTACGGCCAGCACGACTGCTAACGGGATGCTTCAAACATATCTGCAAGAGAAAACGCACTGATCGAGTAAGTATTGACGAAAGCCAGAGGAAACGTCGAGCTATCCGCCGGGAAGGACCAGAGTGCTTGTGCGGCCGAGGAAGGGCACCATGTGCGGCGCGAGCATAAAGGACAGCGACTAAGAAGATTGAGCACGACAAGATGCATCAGGATCATCGAGCGAGGGCGGCTCGAGTGTCACACTATTTCCGAGGGAAAACCGAGTAGCAATAGCTCATGTACATGTACGTTTCAAACATAGACCGTTTGGGGAACTCTACAGAACGTGAGCTCAAGCAAGCCGAAGCACATACTGGGCGTTTGTATTATTGGTTCTCAATGCGAGTCGCGCAGATCCTCCTTGGTAGGGTCGAGGCGGCAATTACAGCACATGGACCGCGCAGTCGCTTCGCTTGTATTGCTCGTGAGCCATTCGGGCACCAAGTACGTGAGTTCTTTGAAGTGCGAGGCCGAGCGAGAGAGCGCGGCGATGCACTCGTGCAGTGAGGAAGCGGTAGGCTATAAAGCGATCATCTGGTTGTGCAAGGATGCGTGGCTTTCCTTGACCTTGTGGCAGTCTTATGTCTCTGTACGAGTGCCAGAATACTTGTGTATATGGGCGCATCGTTCACTGATGGTATCTGAAACCATTCGTCACTATTCTGCGCCCGAAGATGGTCTGCCGGTCCAGCAATTAGATCAATGTAGCCTCGAGTTCACAGAGAAGAACTACATTTACGACGCCAAGATGATGGAGGTGATAATCTTGGAGACAGGGTCAGCGGATTGTAGGCCGCGGTCACGGAATCAACTCACAGCATTGCCCTTGTATAGGACAGTCTTCACGCCAGTGATGAGGACAAACTGCAGGTCCGACCAGGAGCTCCGCAATTAGTTGCGATCGTCCAAAAGCGAGTATATACATGCAGCGACGCAGTTCGACTGAGCTACCGCTGAGGATTGTGCTGTGGCTCGTTCTCGTAGCAAACCCGAATCTAGTCGTAGAATTGCATCAGGAGGCGCGTATATAGCCCAACAGATGTATGTCTTACCAAATCTCTGCGGCAGCCTACGTGCGAATGACAGATACGACTGCTAGTGACGATACGAGGAGGTATCTGAGACGGTTGACAGGGTCAGTCGGGTGATGCGTATGGTGAGGAGCTACGGACAGATTGTTCTGACTGTATATCATGTGATTTGGGTATCGCAGCGACAAGTTCTGAACCTCGTGTAAGGCGAAGTACCAAATGAAAAGGAAAGAACATACCATCGGTCCGTCTTGGGGTTGGCAGGTGCAGCATATGCGGATACGTATAATGCTCCAGAAATCCTTCAGAAGCATCACCTGTCTCGTTTATGAGATACTTCGAACCGCCTGGTTGAATAGCGCCACTTACGTAGAGAAGGCTGGGCCACAGTGGCCACTATTTCTGCAAAGCGATATCAGCTGCCATGTCCAGTCATTACAGCAGAGAAAGGGATTACAATTCTGTCTGAAGTCTAGAGCTTGTCGCTGGTAGTTGCGGAATCGAGAGCTGGAGAGAATTTGTAGGAACAATCGACATCGACGATCCCACATGCTTGTAGTTTTGTATTCCACAGATCGACTGCCGCTTCCTGCTGGTTGAAGACAGGCAGATTGCCATACGCAAACCCGATGCCCAAGAGCTGGACCTGGAATACCTTCCGGTCAGTCACCAACATCGAATTGCGGCCGCTTGCACATACGGGTATATTGTCGTAAAAATTCGCGTTGTACATCATGCTGTTGCTATCAATTGTAATGCAGCACAGCCCATTCTTCTCGAGCATGCCAGGCCTGCCCGGGTTTCCAGAAGTAACTTGATGTCTGGCGGTTACACCGCGTTAAGCCACATTATGAAGAGATCGTTGCTTGAGGAACTAGAACTTGTGTGCCGACATTAGTAAACAGAGTAATACAGGATACCGATCGAACATACCACAGGTTTTAATCGGAAGTAATGTGATATGTGACGACGCCCGATAGACGCTGTGTAGTCTCACAAACACTACGCAGTGTTCGCGGCCGCCAGAAGAAGACTCTGTGATGCAGCCGATGGCTCGAGAGCTACGTATATCATGGGAGAATGTACTGGGAATGAAGGGACCAAGGCAGCGCAATGCTCTTCAATACAAGTGTACTTCCCGCCCCTTGCCGGCAATCGCGACGCACGATCAGGAAGCGCATCTGGCTCATCCGAGAGGATCCGAGATGTCGGAATCAGCCCATCTAAGCCTGTTAATAAACGTGATCGCATAAGTTCCAGTCGCGACGGCGGGTCGACGAGGTTCTCCAATCAAATAAGGGTTGTTTTCCAACAGACCATGCTGGATGATTAAGACCTGACGAGCATGCGAAATCCATGGCAGCATAAGGTGCAGGGCTATGTGTCAAAACTTGGGACCGCGTCTGTATAGCATTTCAGTTTGAATAAGGAACATCAGTCAAACATTGGCCTGCAAATGTGGCACAGAATGTACCTTGAGAAATAGCTTTCCACCGACCAAGGCTTTTGCACAACAGGCTGCACATCGCCAGCTTCCTCTTGTCGATAAGCGAGTATCTCTGCGTCCTCAGGTTCCGCAGGCGGTCCCATCGTCCACTCATCTCGAGCTTGGTCGCATTCCAGACACCACTGACGAATGCTGACTTCCCGTTCAGCATCTCCGATGTAATCCTGGCCGCTCCCACTGGTGTCGCCAAAACGCCTCCTCTTTATCCCTGAGAGGATTGGCCGGAACTGGCGACGAAAGCGGTCAGTGTCGTCATCCAACAGGGGAGAACAATACTGTGTTCTGGGGGGGCGGTAATAATTCTTAGGACAGGGTGAGAGCTCGCCCGTTGCCCACAACCGTCTGTCGGGTACCAGTTCGCAAGTCAAGGGGGCCGTCCATGTCCCATGCCATTTGATAATGCTGTATGCGTGATTGACTTCCTTGTAGGGCAGCAGATCCCGCAAGACGTGTTGGTAGTGCAGTGGTCGCTTGCTCAACTTCTGACCCGCTCGGAATATCATCAGATGGAGATGGGCATTCAGTTCATGCCATCCGAGCGACCGATATGAGCAAGGAGCCCTCATGACGGAAGGTGTGATGATATTATTCATGGTCGCGTACGAGTCTGGAGGGTGCTCTTCCTCTGCGATGATGCAATATTTGTAGACCTGCATCAATGTGAGCACGCGATTGGCGAAGACAGCAGACAATTCATACATTGCAATGTTTAAGCTTCTGCAAATGATCAGGATGGGGTATTATCAACAACCGGTTTGTCTCCCAAAGTTCTCGGAGGTCGCGTCGAACTGCATACGGTAGGTGAGGCTTCAAAAGACGGAGAGAACATTGCGAAACACGCACGGAATATAATATTTCCAGGTGCATAGCAACGGAGGAAGTTGTAGTTGGTCCGCATGTTGAACGTAATGTAGTCCATCTTCCAATTCACCTTGTCAGCCACAAAGCCGAATTATTGGCCACGCCTACTCACCAATAGCTGAGGCATGTCAGGAGGTAAGATATAACAAGCCTCCACCTCAGCAGACACGCAGCCGGTGATCATGCACCTCGGGTGAGGTCCGAAAGGAACACTGTCCTCGATCATCGACGTGTTGCGTGCAGAGCCGGACGTGCGCATTCTCTTGGCAGAAACTTCATTGATCTCTATTTCTGGGCTCCGTTTCCGCTTCGGCAGGCGGGGGATGACTTCGACTGGCGAGTCACGTGTGATATGGGAGAAGACCGGCTCGATCATATCTGGGTAGACGGGCGTGATGGTGGGTATATGCGCAAGAGCGTCCTTAGATAGATAATGCTCGTAGTGGAGCGGTCGCTTCATGAATTCACGGCCCACTCGAGTTGTCATCAGATGCAGATTCGCACTCAGCTCGTGCCACCCCAGTGAGCGATACGAGCAAGCAGCGGTGGTAGCTAGAGGTATAATGGTATAATCCTGGGGGGTTCCCAAGTCTGGAGAGTGCTCATCCTCTGCAACGACGTAGTATTTGTAGACCTACTTGACTGTGAGCGCAGCGACCATTTGAGGCGATGTACGATACATACAGGGCGGATATCGGGATGGTCTATATGATCGGGATGGGGTATCATCAATAGGCGGCTTGTTTCCCATAGTATGCGGAGGTCACGTCGAACTGCATGTGGGTTGTAAGAGAAGGGGAAACGGGTTGGAGATGAGCAAGTACGAACGGAATATGATGTTTGCAGGCGTGCTACAACAGACGGAATTAGACTCAGTAGGCATGCAGAGCATCGTGCAGTCGTCCTACAAAGCTGCCTTGTCAGCTGCGAGGTCAAAGTAGCAATCACCGTACTCACCAACGACTGAGGCATATCGGGAGGCAGGATATAGCACGCCTCCACCTCAGCAGACACGCAGCCCGTGATCATGCATCTAGGGTGAGGTCCATAAGGACCCCCATCTGTGAGCTTTGACGCGTTGCTCGGGCTGTCAGACAACCGCCTTCTCTTAACACAGACCTCGTCGGCCGTCGTGTCCGCACACCGTTTTCGCTTCGGCGAGCGAGCGATGGCTTTAAGTGAAACGTGTAGGTCAATGTGGGGGGAGACTGGGTGAACATCGTCCGGTTCGGCGACCCAGATCTTCGTGCAGTCGTGAAAGGGGATATGCCCAAGATCGAATGAAGCGCTGTCCTCAACCTTGGCAGCGCCGCTCGAGATATCGGATGTCTGCGCCTCCTTTGCGCAAGCATCATCAGTGCTCGCGTCCACGAATCGCTTCCGTTTCAATGGACGGAAGACGTATTCTAGCAACGGGTCCGCCGCATCGGGCTTGACGTCCCCGACACTCGTGCAGCCGCCGATGAGTATGTGCCCAAGATCAAAGAGCGCGCCGTCATCGGTGTTCGTCATGTCGTTCGAATTATTAGGCGGCAGCGCTCTCTCTGAGCGGAATACATAAGCCCGTGTGTCCGCCAACCGTCTCCGTTTCAGCGGACGCGTGATGTCTTCTGGTGGCGAGGAGTCCGCGTCTGGTTCGACAATCCTCATATATGTGCCATCGCCAGGGGATTCATGTTTGGATTCGTCATCAAAAGATATAGATGGTGCACGGCTGAGTCCAGAGACAGGTGTAGCCGGTAGAGAGCTTTCGCGTGAAGAGGAGCTGCCAGTGTCGTCCGAAAGCGCAGGAGTATTTTCGCGTGGGGGGTGCTCAGCAGCGATCATATAGAACATGTCAGGAATAAGGATGTTAAGGCCATTCATTTTTGTGTCGATTGTATCGCGAGTTCAGCGAGGTAGTGACGATAGTGTAGCGCGAACAGCGCCCGCCACCAGTGCCCTTAGCGGGTGCTTAGTCAGCGCTACTCTCGGAGAACCCCGAGGCCAATCACGTCTTGACCGGTGTAGTCCACCGGTAAACCATAGTATACTGACTGTACAGTGCATTTGGGCTTACTCGGGTGCGCACACCACTTCTATGTAGTCGTATAGGTCTTTGTGAGCCTTCTGAGCCAGCGTCCTTGATTGCTTCATGCCAGAATACGTTTCAAGCCTCCTGTGTGAGGACCGCACAGTCGGCATGCATGTCGGGTGCGTTCATTTTGTCTCTGCGGTCTGGTTTTGATTTCAGAAATGCTCGTATAAAACTCCTGGCTGTTCCGGTGTTCTGATTCGGTTTTCCATATGATGCAGAATGTCCTCTACGGGCACATTCACCTCGACTGAGAGTGTCGTAAAGTGCTGCAATCGCCGCTTCCGTCATTGTATACTATGACACACCACGCTGGGAACTAATCCTCAGTGGACAGTGCGTCGCTACGTCAAGCGTTGACAGTGCGAGGGCATTCGTATCTGACTTCCCATATCAGAATCCATCTGGATCTGTTTAATTATGAGGCTTGATTTTGTACACGATGTAGATACAAGCCTTCTATATGCATCGTTTTGTGTGGGAGATGCTGGTAGCCCTCGGAAGACAAGGGCGGTGTGCCGTGTCAATTTCAGCTTTCTTTTGCATACTCTCAACGAGTCAAAGACTGTAGCTTTGTCGTCGATGTCATGATCTACTCCTCTCTGAACAGTTCCATTCATTCGGTCGTCATTTTGCGATGAGAACATGGCTTTGAGGCGAACAGATAGACGTTCCACCTAGGAATGCTTCGCGCAAGTCAAGTCGTTCAACATGTCATAGGTGAGTTTCGTGCCTTTGAGTCGAGTCTGCCGCAGACTGACTGTGCGGTTCCGAATCAGCAAATGACAAGCGCACTTCCATATGGGACCTTGACAGTCTGTCTCTCCGATCAGTGGGGCACGGTTCCCGCGCCTCAGATGGTGCATCTGATATCACAACTACAAGGACTCATCTCGCACAAACCATGCAGATTAGGTAATATGCGGGAGGTCGCCAGTCACTGACCCGCGTCGACGATGGCCACAGACACTAAATTGGAATACAATGGCCTCTGTGGCCTGTGGTCACGCGCTTCACGGTATAATATGAACTCAGCCAAAGCCGCTCGGGCCACTCACACTCTCCGTCTGTTTCTTCACCTCCAACCTCCACTTCACCTCCAAATGCCCTCGCCATGGTTGGCGGCTTCAAACCGAGACGATCTAATAGACTGAAACATTTGCCGAAAGGTATGGGTCCTCGTCGTTACCGTTGACGGGTTTGCCCTGACGGTGGCCCGGCCACAGTTGATTACTGCGAGAACAAGACGGCGGATGGAAAACGAAAAAGGGGAGCATTAGACGACGAAGACGAATATACGCCGTCCCGCGAAGGCACGCCGGAGAATCAGAAGACTCCAACACGCACACCGGAGGACCAAAGGACTCCATCACGGAGAGTAAGACGCAAGACCGCCATTACCAAGGATGCTCGACAGCGAGCGGTCGACGCGTCTCAGAATGAGGGTGCCTGCATCATATCAGGCATGAAGGACAAATCCGTTCAGCAATGCCATGTGTTGCCACGGGCCACAAAGCCGGATGTGGTAAGCTCAAGTGGCTCTTGGGCGCAGGCGGTGTCTCTGACGATGTACATACACACATACATAGCTTACGGCTCTAGAGTGGTGGTGGGACATCAAAGAGCTCAGCGTGGATTCACGCCACAACCAGGTTTTCCGTGCGTCTTCTTTCCAGGAGGCATGCCGATACGCGTGGGCTTACTTGCATACAGTCCGTGCCGACCTCCATGCCTTGTGGGATCGTGGATACATTGCGATCATTCCAATGCCTGACGTGACGAAGGCATATCTGGCCAAGTGGCAGGACGGTGGCAGGCACAAGGTTCTGGAGGTGAGTCGCTGCAACCTGACAACCTGATAATCTACGACTGATGCGAGTCTTCGCCACAATGCGTATAGGATAGCGATGAAAACAAGATCCACGAGTACTGTGTGATCCCTCACCCAGACCTTGTGGCCGGTGCACCTCCCCCTGGCAACTCTCCGATCCGCGAAGGGTTCGCTTACAGATTCGACAAGGTCGGGATCATCCGGTCCCATGCGAAGCCGCACTTCATGGTCTTGAACGCGGCCATGAAGCTCAAGGAGAACAAGGAACTATGGGTGGAGGCGCTAACGGCGTTCTGCAAGATAATTGAGCTCGAAGTCGACGCATCCAGCTTCGTGGAGGATATCTTGAATTTGTCAGATGGGTGGACTGCGCCACCACCCGGGGAGGCGGAGCTGATAATGAAGAAGGAAAAGGAGCAAGCGGGAGAGGAAGCATCCAGGTCAGTGAGCACGTTTGAGCCGTGGCGTCGCATTCACCTAACTTGTTTGTAGTCTTCTCGTCACGGTTTCTACAGGCGAAGCAGTGACGCCAAAACACCCCAAAGGTACGACGTTATGCTTTGCCTTGTCATGTGGCATGGACTTACCTCAACGTCCTCGTGTGGCGCAGCCGCTCTTATGGGTTCGGGAGGGTTTGAAATGGACAAACGCTCCAAGTCGAAGGCCCGCAAGCCTGAAGGCGAACTGTGCGGTAGCAACCTCAAGTTGTATGCTGCCCATTTGGCGCCTACTGGGTCACGGTGCCTGTTGAGTCTTCAGGACGACAAGTCAATCCAAGGGTGCCACGTTGTCCCGCGAAGAACTGACGACGATATGGTAAGCTGCCAATACTTCTTGATGATACCCGTGTGACCATGGCTTGGGTGCTCTCATGGATGTAGTGTGCGCAAGTGGCGGCGTGGTGGGGGCTTGATGAATTTGACGTCGACTCCCCTTTCAATATCTTCTTATGTGAGTGTATATGCCCAGGTTGTTCGACGTAGCATTGATCCAGACCCCATATAGTGAGAGCGGATATCCACTGCTTATGGGACCAAGGCCATCTCATGTTCGTGCCTGAGCCTCATATCATCAAAGATTATCTCGCACGATCTGTTGTCCCCATAGGCGAAGCCTCAGTGAGTACAGAGACATGGCCTGGACTGGTATATTGCTCACGGTACTACCTAGTCTCTAGCTGAGCTATTTGAAGCGCCCGATGTCCCCGTCTACAGATATGGTGTTGTTGCCCATCGCGACCTTCCCGAGACAGAGGAGAACGCTGCATTTCAGAGGGATATCAGGACCTTAGCCTATGTGGAATCGCCAGTTCCTCCCCAATTCGTTATATACAATGTGGGATTGATGCTGTCGAAGAGTGGACCAGAGGGGTTCGAAATGGCTCTAGATGCCTTCTACAAGCGCCACGGAGTCGATTATGAAGCGATCGACGTTCTCCGTAATATGCTGGCTCTCTTCAAACGATACACAACCAATGATCCGGCCGACGGAATTTCGCATCCCAATATCTAAAGTGACCTTCCGCTCTAGCTGTCTCAATCGGTGCGTTGGCTGTATTTCATTCATACTCCCTGTTGACTTTTGGGTACATCGGGCAAGCGTCGCTGCCGACCCGGGTCACGTGGTCGTGTGCCGGTGTGGGAAGAGGACTTATGTAGGCGTCGCGCGCCATAGGTAGCCCCATCGGTTTGTAACCTAATCCACCATTGATCCCTGTCCATCGAGGATGTTGTCTGCCGGTGGTCTTTCTGGCATCATTCTCACACTCCCATCATAATGGACATGAATTCTAGGCAGAACCAAGAAATCCACATGTTTCTCAGTCAAAGCTGGCCTGAGAGTGATTATCAGGATGTATACAGCCCCATGCCCATTTTGGACACGCAAAATATGTCTTGCTATGACTAACCTTCTATGCCCCATTATGTAGTAGCCCATCATACATCCATCTATGCATTTTTCCATCTCATGCTGTGAAAGGCAGTCTAATCATATCAATACTTGTTGAAGACATGGGAGGTCAGTTTCGTTATTTGGAACATTCCGGGGTATTACAGTGTGCAATTAGTTCATGGGTGCCATTTGCTCATTGGAGACTTCATATTGTAGTCCCCTGACAATCAACTGCATCATGTTGTCGTGACTTGAGGTCAAGCAACAGGGACAGAACAAACCTAAAGGCTGGGGGCGTTTGACTGGGTCTCACCGAAGTTGTTGCAACTTGAGGTCAAGCGACAGGGGAAAACCTAAAAGCTGGGGGCGTCCGACTAGATCTCACCGAAGCGATGGTGAGCTACGCTCAAACCTAAGGCTAGGGACAAGTAAGTTAGCATAGAAAGGTAAGTATGTACAGGGGCTTACTGACCTAGGGACAAGAGGTCGAAACTGAGGTCCCTAGGGCAGCAGAGGCAGGCTTATATACAGGGGAAGTTTAGGGGAGGCTGTGCGCACTGGTCCATGCACAGCTGGTCCGTGCGCAGCATGCTGACGCGGCCCCGGGGGCCGGTGAGTCAGAGAGGCTGTGTCAGCAGAGCCCGAGCTGTGCCGCGCACTGCTGCCCATCTAATCTAATCGTACAGTAGATAGCGACGCGTCCATATCAGGCATGTAGTACAGAGGTCGCGGGTTCGAGCCCGCGAAAGGGAAAAAATTAAAAAACGGCTAGGCGCCGTACCAACTCGTGACAGAAGTGATGGTGAGCTAGGCTCAAACCTAAAGCTAGGGACAAGATAATATATTAGTTAGGTAAAGAAAAGGAATACAACTGAAGGCTTACTGTCGCGACTTGAGGTCAAGCGACAGGAACAAACCTAAATGCTGGGGGCGTTCGACTGGGTCTCACTGAAGCGATGGTGAGCTTTCGCTCAAACCTAAGGCTAGGGACAAGTTAGTTAGTATTGAATAAGTAAGTAAGTACATGGGAGCTTACTGACCTAGGGACAAGAGGTCGAAACTGAGGTCCCTAGGGCAGCAGAGGCTGGCTTATATACAGGGGAAGTTTAGGGGAGGCTGTGCGCACTGGTCCATGCACAGCTGGTCCGTGCACAGCATGCTGACGCAGCCCCGGGGGCCGGTGAGTCAGAGAGGCTGTGTCATCGGAGCCTGAGCTGTGCCGTGCACTGCCGTCCTATCTAATCTAATCGTACAGTAGATAGCGATGCGTCCATATCAGGCATGTAGTACAGAGGTCGCGGGTTTGAGCCCGCGAAAAGGAAAAAATTAAAAAAACAGCTAGACGCTGTGCCAACTCGTGACATTACCCCCCCCTCAACGGCGCATGACCTCATGCGAGGCGCCCTTGCCCATCTCCCACCCGGAGCGGCAGCGTGCTTCAGTCAGCGGTGAAGGCATTGGCTGAAAGTTGAGACCACCAAAGACAGCAGCATTGAGGCGGCGAGGGGTGTTCGGGTTCTTCCGGTGGAAGTCGGCTATGAGGGCCGGCGCATTCGCAATGTTGCGCGCCGGTTCCCATGACGTATGCGAGTCGTCATAACCCTTCCACTTGACGAGGTACTGCAGCTGACGCCGGAAGATCCTCGAATCTTTGATCCGCTCAACCTCGTACTCCTCGTCGCCCTCAACCTCAATGGCAGGCGGCTCCTCCGGCTCCCGGCCTGGGATCTCGCTACGTGTGTACTTGCTGAGCAGGGAGACATGGAATACCAGGTGCACCGGCACCAATTTCGGCAGAACTAATTCATAATCCAAGTCTCCAAGCTTTCGCCGCATGGCATATGGTCCGAGACGCTTGGGACTGAGCTTCTTGCTCGGCTGTTTCAGCTTAAGGTTCCGGGCATCAAGCCAGACCTTGTCCCCTGGCGCGAAGACTGGTGCCTCCTGCACGTGCTTGTCATAGTACACTTTCATGCGCTCGGCCGACAGCTCAAGCGCAGAGCGCGTATCGTCGCGAATCTCCTTCAAGATCTTGAGCCGATTCGCGGATGCAGGCATCGCAGACATCGGATTGATCCGCACTTGGATCTCAGGATGGTACCCTTGATGCAGGAAGAAGGGGGAGTGCCCGGTCGCAGAGTGAACTCGGTTGTTCAGTGCGAATTCCGCGAGCGGCAACTGCCTTGCCCAATCATCCTGCCGGTGGCTTGTGAAAGCGCGCAGGTACTGCTCGATCTCCTGATTCCAGCGCTCGGTCTGGCCGTCCGTCTGGGGGTGGAACGTCGTGGACAGCGCCGGTTCGATCCCTAGTCCCTTGTACACTGCATGGAGATACTTTGAAGCGAACTGGGGACCTCGGTCTGATATGACCTTGGCCGGGGCCCCATAATGCTTGAACACATCGCGGATGTACAGGTCTGCCGCACCTTCTGCTGTCAGGGTCTCATGGCAGGCTGAGAAGTGGACCTGCTTGGTAAAGTGGTCGGCGGTGACCAGGATCGAGTCAAATCCATCAGACTTCGGCAAGCCAACAATCATATTGGTCGTGATGATCTGCCATGGGCGCTCGGGGATCTCGTTCGGCTTCAGCGGGCCCTGGGGCTTGGCTGGGAATGTCTTGGTACGGTTGCACACATCGCAGGTGCTTACGTACTCATTGACAAATTTGGACATCCCAGGCCACCAGTAGTTCCGCGACACGAGCTCAAGGGTTTTGGCCCGACCGCCATGGCCGGCGATTGGCGAGTTGTGGTGGATTTTGACAATATCCCGCCGGAGCTCTGCGTTCTTTGGGACATACACGC